AAATATATGAAAAATTGATGTGGGTACTCAAATGAAAGGTCTTGATGAGTGTAACCTCGGGATGAGCTTATATCTTTAAAAATGTCAATAGTTCACAAGACACAAGGTCATTTCTTGATTATGTATCTAGAGAGAGCATTTTTTAATGCAGCCTAAACACTTACTATAATAAATTGACTATTGGTGAGAATGATATGAAACCTTGAAAAGGCACAACTTCATATACTTCATATAGAATAGTATATTTGTTAAAAAAATATTGCAAAAAAAATTCGTTACAATTTTTTAAGTTATGCTTCGCCGACTATTTTGATTCAGAAAAATTTTGATTTTCTCTACTTAAAATTGTATTAAATTCGAATCATCATATTGTATGATATTTTTGTAAAAATATAAATGAAATAGTAATAATAATAAATTTTTTAAAGACTCGAAAGATTCTTGTCTTTTTTTTGGTACCTTAGTTATTATTGCTAGTCTTTTTAATTCAAATTGTTAAAATAGTTATTATTAAAACGAGTTTTAAGTCAAGTCAATTTATCTCGACATTTATTTTTAAAAATTCAGCTTTGTAATTTTAATATCAAGACGATAAGAAGGAAGAAGAGGGAGCTTAAAAAAGATAATATACAATTAATTAATTAGACCACTGTTAATGTTTCTATCGAGTAGAAAATACGAACTCATAAAACTTAATGGGACAATAGATTTTATCAATTGTCATTAAAAGTTATAAAATTGATTTACTTCAGTGTCTTTTTTCGTCAATCTGGCTATTATATATATTAAATTCTACGATCCAACAACTTTAATTTTACAAGCATGGCTCAAGTAATCTTTACGGTAAGTTTTATTTAATTAAAAAATTTTTTTCAAAAAGCTCTAATGCATTAAAAGTAAGAAATAAGTAAAATTTATTAAATAATTTTCCGAAAAGCTCTGTGTTCAAATTTTAAAACAAAATTTTTAATATTTTTTATTATTCTTGCTATTAATATTAAATTGTACAGACTTTTAATTTTACACCTCTAAAATTTAATCTTTTTTTCGGCCGAACAAGTTTTAATTTTTAACACAATGTTATTTGTGTGACTTATTTATGGAACGGAATTTTTTGATGTCATTTTTTCCGACTTTAATATGGAGTGAATATTAAAGCAAAGTAAAGATGAAAGCTGAATTTTTAATTAAGATTAAATCCGCATAAAATGATTTTTTGGAAAAAATCTGTTTCGTTAATAAAATAGAAAAAACAAAAAAAAAATGATCTAGCGATAATCCGCGATGAAGACACTAGATAAAAATGTCAGAGTCCAACACGTCTGGTTTATAATTATCCAAAAATAAAATCGACAATTTATTATATCCGTGAAAAAAATTACATGGCTACACAGAAAAAAAGGTTCACTTGAGCCAAGAAAATATTTTTCTTCCGAATTATTTTCTTGAGCAAAAAAAATTTTCTTTTTGACACAAGAAATTTCACTTATCCCAACAAAATTAATTCTCTTGCTTTAACAAATACGTATCTTGATCCAAGAAAATTTATTTAAGTCAAGAAAATCTTGTTGTATTGAGAAAATTCAGCCTCTTGCTCCAAAAAATTTAGTTCTTGATAGACGTAAATTTTCTTGTCTTGAGAAAATTTCTCTCTTGCTCCAAAAAATTAAATATAGAGATAGAAGTAAATTTTCATTAATATTTTTATTGATTAGCATGTCAAATGGGAAGATCAAATAATATTTCATCATTTTTTTTCATTCAATATGTAGAATTGCACGCTAAAATAATATAAAATGGATATCATCAAATATTCAAGAGAAAAATTTTCTCAAGGTGAGAAAATTTTTTTCTCAGCTGAAGAGTAGGTGGCGCTGCTTCCCTAAAGTATCTAAAAATCTTGATCAAATATAAAAATTTATATCAGGTATTTACGATAATTTGAATGAAGAAAAAATCACTTCCACCAAGAATAAAATTTCAAGAAAAACTTTTACTTCGATCAACACAACTTCGGTCTTCCTTCAGGCACCCGAAAATTTTCTTGAGCCAAGAATTTTGTTCTCCAATCAAGAAATTTTTCTTTCTGTGTATAAATAAATAAATTGTTACAGATTACACTTATTATCCTCGCCATCACCGTCGGTATCAACAGTGCAACCTTTAAATGGAATGGCTACCTTATAAATCGCGAAACTTCATTCAAAGGCGATGTGAAAAACTTTACTCAGTCCTTCACAAGAACAGTGGATAAAATCAAAACCGTCGACCGGAGTGTAAAGCTTACAAATAAAACTACGAAGAAAATAATATCTAACGATCATTCGATTACAACGACAACCAACGGCGTCGTAACCATAGATCGTACTTTTGAAAAATTTGACCTTGATGGTAATGTCGATTTGCATGATCATTTCTTCAATATTTCAAGCGGCGACACAGTAATTACTGGTAGAAATTTAACGAGGCTAACTAACTTTCGTACTAAAGATGTCGATTTTTTAGAAAGTGCTCGAAAGCGAGACGGTGAACTAACTATTAGTCGCAGCTTCGTATCATTTCCCATGGACAACACGCCGGTTAACACTTCAAATGTTGCTATAGCCATCAAGGCTAATAATTTGACGGAAATTTACCACAGAAACACCTTGATGATCAACGACGAGACAATCTGGAAAAAAGTCGGCTCCAATGCGACGGCTATTATTACGGAAAAGGGTATTCAATTGATAGATTTCCGCTTTAAGAAGTTTAACCAGGACAATGAGGTGTCTGTCAGTAAACAAACGCAAGTGGAATTACAAACCGATAACTCTATAATTATTGACACTTATACCTCAAGCACGAATTTCTTAACATCTGGGTTCCGTCTTCCTGAGGTCGAAGATCATTTTATTCTAACAATAAAGGCAGATGATCAGAAAACTGTTGATCAATATATTACAACCAAACGTCAATTGGGTGATACATATGACATAATATCGTTCGAGATGTTTAATGCAACCATTGAGGCTGATGAAACTGTTTCTAAAATTCAAACTAATCTACGGATGGATCCTTCGGAGCATCGGCTCTATTTGCAGGAGATGATTCGAAAGGCTAAGCTGAGAATCACAACTGACCTTGAAGAAGTTATTGCGACTTCAATATCAATGACCAATACTGTTACCACCATGACGGAAATGTATCAATCGATTTTCAGGGATGTAATTTTTCAGTGAAAAATTAGTTATTGTAATTGAAAATAAAAATTAATCGGCAAAAAAGGTGCGTTTTTTTTTATATAGAAATCCTCAAAGAATAATTTTTTATATGTTTCATGTTCGGTTTTAATATGTGTATTTAAATAATCTAATCTAATGTTGCTCTAATAAAATTTTAATCAATTATATTTAAAGATAGGAACTTTTGTAAAAGGACAAAATATTTATAAACATTTATTTTTCTCTTTATGCATTTCCTATTTATTATATATATAGTATCGAAATAACTCAAAATTATGAACTCTAATTTCTTATTGGTTCAGAATTAGAGCGCGCGCGTAGCAAGACTTCACTCTTGCTGGAATTTTTTTATCCATAGCAATTTTTAGGATTCCTTAACAAATAAATTATTATAAAAAAATAATTCTAAATTATAAAAAAATATTCTAAAAACATAAAATAGAACCAAATTTTGTGCCAATTCACGCTAAAGTTTTCCTTAAGAGCGGTTGATAGTTGATTTTCAAACGAGTTTTGCTCATGAATAAGATAAAATTTTGAAAAAAAACGCTTCGCTCTTCGATAGATAATTAAATTATCTATCGAAGAGCGAAGCGCTTTTTTAGAAAATTTTCATTTATTTATGCATAAAATGCGCTTTAAGATTCCATAAGCTGTACAAATATGACAGAGATACTTTCGTATGTCCAATAGAGGACGAGAGAGACAAAAAATGTAAACCCTTCTTAAAGTTCTCAAGTCTATTTAAGCTGAATAAATTATCGCTGGTGCGTTGAACTCAAGCACACAGAAAAAAAGAATTATTTGTCTCAAATAAATCGATTTATTTGAGTCATTTTTTTAAATATTTCTTTGTGTCAACCATATATATTTGGTACAAGTAAATATAACAGTTGACTCGAATTATTTTATTATTTGTCAGAAATATATCATTTATTTGTGGTAAAGATGCTAAGTTTATGGTAAACAACGGCATCTTTGAGGGTACCAGTCAAATGTTGAATTCTCAACTACTGCGCGCGCATATTCTTCGGACGTCACCCGAACTGACTCTCAAGTGACCGCTATTTTCATTAAAAACGTTTGTTGTTTTTTTTTATAATAGTGCGTATTATTGTATGAAATCTCAATTTTCAATTTTAAATAATTCATAATAGTGATCGAAACGATGGAACAATTGTTAATTAATTGTTTAACTGTCGGTTTAAATGATCATTTAAAAGGATACATAGTAATATTACCTGATAAAAATACAACTGAACAAATTTTAATTTTCAATATTAATAATTGTCTTCGTCCAATGAAAGTGCATGTTACAGCTGAAGGCAACCATATTATATCTAAAGGTAATTTGAATTTTTAATTGTATTTCTGTTCTAATAAAATAAATTATAAATTTTTTATTCTATAGGAGCGCTATAATAAACTAAAAATATGTACATTTAA